GGAGGAGAGGAGGAGGAGGAGAGGAGGGAGGAGGAGGAGGAGGAGGAGGAGGAGGAGGAGGAGGAGGAGGAGGAGGGGGGAGAAACGAGGAGGGGAGGGTGCGTCGAGGGGAGGAGGAGATGGGTTCTGATGGACTTTCGTCAAAAAGAACCGCGTTCTTGCCCCGCACGGTCTCGTTGGTCGGCCTGGCCCAGATGCGGTGGTACGGCGGTTGAGAATTCATCGACGTAGCCAAGCGTGAGAGTCCACTTCGCGGAGGTTCGTGCGTAAGCGTATGGCCGCACGTAGGCGCCCCTTCGCTTGCACCAGGTGTGTCGTGCTGGCAGCTCGCGTAAGCCTCCGCGCGAGGTTGCCCCGTCTTGGTGCGCAAGGTCCCTTTCTTCCCGCCGCTCTGTTGCAAAGACACGCTTGTGCTGGCGCTGCGTGCCTGCTGCCAGTCGCCGGAGCTCTGGCACCTGCCCTCCCCGAGGCAGCCCCTCGCGGCCAAGCCGTGCGCCGCCTGGACGGCGGACCGCCCGGGGGACGCCTCAGAACTGCAGACACGCCCCGGCATCACTGGTGCTGTCAAGGCCATCCTTTGGGCGCGGGATCGGTGTACACTAGGCTCGCGCCGCGTTGGAGGAGGGTCGAAACAGAACAAAAACACATAAAGATGAACTTGTGGCGCTCCGCGCGGATCTCTGGGATCCGCGCTGGGGCCCCCTGGCGGCGCCTCTGGCGCCGCCCCTGGCGCGCTCCGCGCGCCAGGGAGGGGGGTCCGGCGCGGATCCAAGAATTCCGCGCGGAGCGCCAAAAGCTTATGCTTCTGCTGTTTTTTTTTGTTCTTCTGGAGGTGCTCAAACATGCTCTTAGTCTGTGTTCCGCAGGCGTCGGTCCAGGATGAGGGTCTGGGGGCCAATGGCGAGCGGTTTCGGTGGGTTCGCGTTGCGTCGACGCGGCGGCTCCCCCAGCGCGGGCGGAGGAGGAGGAGGAGGAGGAGGAGGAGGAGGAGGAGGAGGCCGCCAGCGGCCCAGGATCGGCTGAAATCGGGCGGTCTGCGCTACCGGAGGGCCACGATCGTTCCAGGTTTGGGCGTGGCTTAATGGGGGGGTCATACATGGGGGGGTCAGAAACGGTCCCCTTTCGTGCCCCTTTCGAGCCCCTCCGGACCCCCAGGGGGCTCGTTTAGGCACCGTTTGGGTACCTTTTCGGACCACCCTCGCCACCCCCCCATTTATGACCCCCCTATTACGCAACGCCCTACAGGTCCGGGAGCCTTGAGACGGGGGTCAGTTCAAACAGGGGTCAGCCAGAGCGCCCGATCTTGCAGGATCCCGCAGTCCCAGGGTCGCACCGACCCAGGTCTGGGTGCAGAATCCTGCAGGATCCTTCGCACTGACCCGGGTCTGGGTGCAGGATCTGGCAGGATTCTGCAAGGCCTGACCGATCCGCGTCTGGATTGACCCGGGTCAGAAGATCCCCGACAGTCAGGAGCGAAAGAAGGACGTACACGTGGATGAATCCACGTAGGTTCCGAGAGTACGCATGGCGCGAACGTTCGTATCACGCGGCCAGTCTCGCGGATTTTGGGGCCGTGTTCATGTACGTCCGTTGTGGGCTCCTTGGACAGGTTGACTTCGATCCACGCGGTGTCGAGAAAGCCAGCGCCGCCGCCACGGAGCGAAACTTGCCGTGCGTGGCGCCCGGGCCGAGAATCGGGAGGCCGTGCAGTTTCGGGGTGCCACGGATAATGCCTTGGGGGCGTCGAGGATCGGGGGGAGGATTGATGGGCCTGTTTTCCACCACCCCTACCATAAACCATCAGTTGGAGGGGGGAAGGATGAGGAGGAGAAGGAGGAGGAGGAGGAGGAGGAGGACGAGGACGAGGAGGAGGAGGACGAGGACGAGGACGAGGACGAGGAGGACCCCCTCCCCCTCCAACTTCTGGTGGTGGTGGTGGTGGAAAACAGGCCCATCAAGGAAGAGGATCGATGATCGAGGAACGCTTTTCAGGAGGGGGAATGGGGTAGGGGGCATCCTTGGGCGCCGGCGCCAGGGGGGCGGGGGTTTGAACCTCCCCGCCTCCCCCCCCTTGGGCTGCCTCTGGTCATCGTCGCTGCGTCCCCGCCGTCGCTGCTGGCGGCCAGCGCCGGCGCCGGCGCCGGCGCCGAGGGGGGGTGCGTTGAACCCCCTCCCTCCTTGGGAGGGGAGGGGGTTCGGGAGGGGGGGGGGAGGGGAGTCCCCTGCAGTGATCGACGGCGCCGAGTGTTGGGGGGGGGGGGGGCGAACCCCCATGTTCGAATCGCGCCGCCGAGTGTTCCCAAGGCAAGCGCCCGTGAAGCGCGCTCGCTCCTGCCATCGCTCGAACGTGTGCATTTTTTCTCGGCGAGAACCATCGAGGAGCATCCTTGATCATTTGGCGAAAAAACCACGCATGAAACCGAACAAAAACACAGGTCCGAGCGATGGCGAGCGCTCCTCCCCCCAGGACGTGCCCACGCCATCCACCGCTGGCCCGCTCGGCACGCGCCGCACGTCGGCGGACGTGGCCACGCCGTCCACCGCCCCCCTCAGCGGGTGCGCCGGCGCCTCCGGGGACGACCCGCGGGCCCGGGCCTTCGAGGGGGCCAGCTCGCCGCCGCGCCGGGACTCCGACTCGGACCTCGGCGAAGGAGGTGTCGGAGGAGGGGGAGGAGGGAGGAGGGAGGAGGGAGGGGGAGGAGGGGGAGGAGGGAGGAGGGAGGAGGGAGGAGGGAGGAGGGAGGAGGGAGGGAGGAGGAGGAGGGGGAGGAGGGAGGAGGGAGGAGGGAGGAGGGAGGAGGGAGGGGGAGGGAGGAGGAGGAGGAGGAGGAGGAGGAGGGAGACATTCCCAGAGATCACACGAGCTGAAAGAATCCAGACGGTGGTTGTTCAGCAGTTTTCGGCCTCCAGGGACCCTCGGCCAGCCCCGGGACGTCAGAGGGACGACTCAGGACGTAAAGCTTCGATGCTCGTTTCGGGGACCTTCCTGGAGCCCACCTAACGGATCTGTTCGACCCCAGTTCGACTCAAGTTCGACTCAAGTTCGACTCAAGTTCGACTCAGGTTCGACTAAGGTTCGACTCAGGTTCGACTCAGGATCGACCCAAATCGACTGACGTTCGACGCAGCTTCGACGCACGAGTGGAGCGAGTGGCTCCAGGAAGGTCCCCAGAACGAGCATCCAATAAAGCCGGTCCCCGGGAGTGGGTCGAGGCTTGCGTGGTATTGAGCACATCAGGACACCGGATCTTGTTGTACTGCCGTGCTTGTCCTGGAGGACCCTCGCCGCCACGGCCAGCCTCGCCTTGGTCAGAGTGCGCTCGTCGACGAAGAGGCTGCAACTGTTGGACCTCCGCCCTGCTTTCTTGGATCTGCGCTGGGCCTCCCAGCGGCGCCTCCGGCGCCGCCCCTGGTGCGCGGAGCGCGCCAGGGAGGGGGGTCCAACGCCGACCCTAGAACCTAGAAGTCCGCGCGGAGCTTCAAACGTTTATGACAATCTTATTGTTCATTCCCCGAAGGTCGGCGATAGGCTCCCGATGGCAGACCCGCACGTTCCCGGGGCGGAGCTACGACAGTTCGTGATTATGCAGTTGTTTCCTCCTCCAGCTTCATGATGCTCCAACCTACAGTGACCTTGATCACCAGATTGAATTTCGAGCACCAAGAAAGTACCGAAACTAGAGGATTTTCACGTGTCGGGCCCTTGGAGACTTTCGTTCGACATTGTTTCGACACTGTTTTGAGACTGTCTCGACACTTTTTCGACACTCTTCCGGGTGCTCGAAATTATTTTTGGGATGTGGTCATTAAGTACGATGGGAGCAGCAAAACTCCAGCTCAGGAGGGGGCCCCGGGGAGCCGCAACATCGGTGCAATCTGTAGCCTTCCCAGGACCTGACGCCGTTGCCGTCGGACCTGACGCTGCAGCCCTCGAGCAGGCGGAACAGGTGCCCCACCCCTGGGCCGGGCCTCCCAGATATGGAGCCGAGCAGACGAGCCGGCGTCAGGAGGGAACAAAAACACACAGACACAATTAATAGTCGATTCCCCAGAAAATATGGGAACATATGGGAAGTGGGGGGGGAAGACGAAAACCCTGAAAGTATGGGACAAGACGGGGAATCCTGTGATAAGTGTATATTTATTGCGAAGGCCTGACGGCCGGTGCCGCCGACCCTGTTCGCAATGCGCAGCAAGAGGCACGGGCTGTGGGATGGTTTGGGGGAACGGGGAGAAGGACGAGAAGGTGGGGGAGGGAGGTGTCGTATCTGACCCGGGACTTCCCCGGGACTCCCCCGGGACCCCCCCCGGGACCTCCTCTCCCCCCCCCGTCGGGGAAGGGAAAGGGAAGGGGCTTCCCTTCGACTCAATGACGACGTTGCTCAAGGTCGGTACGGGGGGGGGGCGTCGTATCTGACTCGGAAAGGGGGTCGCTACCCCCCCCGCTACCTCCCCCCCCCTCCCGGCGGGGGAGGAATGAAAGGGAAGGGGCTTCCCTTCGACTCAATTACGAGGTTGCTCAAGGTCGGCTTGGCTGGAGCCCAGGGGAAGAGGAGTCCCAGGGGGGGGCGTCGTATCTGACCCGGGGGGGGGGTCGCTACCCCCCCCCCCCCGGCGGGGGAGGGATCAAAGGGAAGGGGCTTCCCTTCGACTCAATTACGAGGTTGCTCAAGGTCGGCTTGGCTGGAGCCCAGGGGAAGAGGAGTCCCAGGGGGGGGCGTCGTATCTGACCCGGGGGGGGGGTCGCTACCCCCCCCCCCCTCCCGGCGGGGGAGGGATCAAAGGGAAGGGGCTTCCCTTCGACTCAATTACGAGGTTGCTCAAGGTCGGCTTGGCTGGAGCCCAGGGGAAGAGGAGTCCCAGGGGGGGGCGTCGTATCTGACCCGGGGGGGGGTCGCTACCCCCCCCCCTCCCGGCGGGGGAGGGATCAAAGGGAAGGGGCTTCCCTTCGACTCAATTACGAGGTTGCTCAAGGTCGGCTTGGCTGGAGCCCAGGGGAAGAGGAGTCCCAGGGGGGGGCGTCGTATCTGACCCGGGGGGGGGGTCGCTACCCCCCCCCCCCTCCCGGCGGGGGAGGGATCAAAGGGAAGGGGCTTCCCTTCGACTCAATTACGAGGTTGCTCAAGGTCGGCTTGGCTGGAGCCCAGGGGAAGAGGAGTCCCAGGGGGGGGCGTCGTATCTGACCCGGGGGGGGGGGTCGCTACCCCCCCCCCCTCCCGGCGGGGGAGGGATCAAAGGGAAGGGGCTTCCCTTCGACTCAATTACGAGGTTGCTCAAGGTCGGCTTGGCTGGAGCCCAGGGGAAGAGGTCTCCGGGGAGGGATCAAAGGGAAGGGGCTTCCCTTCGACTCAATTACGAGGTTGCTCAAGGTCGGCTTGGCTGGAGCCCAGGGGAAGAGGTCTCCCAGGGAAAGGGAAGGACAGAGACGACGAGTACAAAGAATGACGGAGATGACGGCTCGAACGGAAAAAGCCCCTCACACACGCCGACAGGGTCGGCGGATTTGTGTGTCCCAGGGCCCCTTCACGGCGGCGGAATCCGAACCTTGCCCTCGCCGATAAGCGACTCAGGCAACTCGACGGGCGGCGGAGGTATAGTGGAGGCCCATGCCAAGAAGTACTCTGCTTGCCTCCAGGGTGCCCTGGGTTTCTTGGGTCTCGATGGTTTTGCTACAGAATGCGTGACGTTCCCACACCAAAAATCAATGGACGTCATGGGGTCTCAGGGGCGGGTTTCTTGTGAAAGGTTTCTTGTGGTCGGGCCTCCACTGTAGGGCTCGGAATCATGCTCCCGCCTCCCATCGATTCAGGAGAATCGATGGTTGGCGGGGTGGGGGTTCGTGTGTTGCCACCTAGTGGGGTCGGGGCATCGCGCCGCATCGCCGACGCATCGGCGACGCGGCTCGATATGCAGCCCGATTTCCTCCACGCCGAAGGCGCCGATGCATCGCAGGTGTCGCCGATTCGGCGTCTGAAGGAAGGGTCCTGGGAGGTACGCTCGGGCGGTCCGATGGGGGCGTCCTTAGGAGATGTGCCTTCGGCTGCCCTGGGGAAGCGTCGAGGATGAGTCCTAGCAGGTACGACATGTCCATTTTTTCGTACCGTGGTCCCCCATTGGTCTGGACCACTTCCCCCAGGGTTCGGATCTCACCCCCTGGGTCTCCGCAAGGGCCCCCAGAGGCCGAAGACGCCCAAAGAAGTGATTTTTGCACGGCTCGACGCGAGGAGATCTCGAAGGAGAAAAATGCCGTGAACATATCAGGAGGGAAAAACACACAGACACAAGTAATCGTCGATTCCTTAGAAAACATGGGAACATATGGTAAGGGGGGAAGACAAAACACCCAGAAAATACAAGAAAAGATGGGGAATCTTGTTATTTGTGTGTATTTATTTGTGTGTCCCAGGGCCCCTTCAACATACTTTGGGCGCTCCCAACGGATTTCTTGGATCCGCGCTGGGCCCCACTGGGCGGCGCCTCGGGCGCCACCCCTGGCAAGCTCCGCGCGCCAGGGAGGGGCCCCAGCGCGGATCCAGGAAATCCAGAAATCCACGCGGAGCGCCACAAGGTTATGTTCATGGCGCTGATTCTTCTTGTAAGATCTCCCGGCGGAGGGAGGAGGGAGGAGGGGGAGGAGGAGGACGAGGAGGTGGGAGGAGGAGGAGAAGGAGGAGGAGGAGGAGGAGGAGGAGGCGCAGGTGCTGCAGGAGATCACTACTACTCCAGAGACATATACAACAAGAACAGACGGAACCACCAACGTCCACACTGAGGCCACCAAGCGGGAGATCATCGTCCACCAAGTCGAGTTCACCCCCGACGGATATGCACCTACTGAGATAAGACAGCGTCCTGACTACGAAGCACCAGAGTGCAAGCAACCTGCCCAGATCATATTTTGCGGCACCATGCAGATAAAGGTCACCGACATCGACAAGCTATCCGAACTCGAGGCCCACAAAGCAAGGCAGTACCCCATCGATGACGAGGAGGGCCACAGCACACGACACCTGCTCCACTACTGCCACAAACTACGCAACGCACGCTTTCAGCCTATCAACTGGACCCAGAACTACTTCCCTGGGTGGCGTACGGTTTTTCCAGAGGCTCGACCACGACAAGTACAACGGCCAGCCCGCACTACTCCCACAAACACCGACCTGCAGATCATTCAGCGAAGATCCACCCCACAGGTCCAACAGACCATACCAATCCCGATGCCGATCGTCTCACAACTCATAGACAGTCAGACCAAGACCGCGCCTCACCAACGTACAAGCAAAGCGAAACTCTCCGACCTGACCCATCTCACCACGGTAGATTGCCACCAGGTTGGCTAACGTAACCAGAAGCCTCGCCTACTACCACAACAAGGAGACAGACACCATCCAGTGGAAGTTTCCAGGCGACTCCAACTACGAACCATGCTGCACTCGGCAGCCCACCGACCATAACATCGAGGCCAGCATTCACAAGGACGGCTGCTTCTACCACAACCTTAGGCCGATGTACCCTCCATCCCTCAATAACCACCCTCCTGTACCAGAGCACCCAGTCAAACGCGAGCAGGTCGACAACGCCATGACACTCACCATCCACGACCTACTCGACCAGATGCGGGCCGACTACCAACGGGAACCAGACGCTCACGAATGGGTCGACCGAGCACATCTATGGTACAGCGAGCACTCCGCTGGCATGTTCTTCTCCCACATCAAGGTGAACCAGGACACCAAGCCCTTTCTCATCTTCGGCAACAACCTGCTCGTGGTCGCACCTGTACGCGAGAGGGGGTGGGGCACACCCTCCACGCGCACGCCACACTCTCCATCGCATCAAACAGATACGCAGCTCGACACCAATTTTGGCACCATGCGATGACCACAGCGTCTTCGAGCGATATATCCACATCGAGATACTACCGACGCTGGGGGTGACCTCACAGGAAGAAAGCACCCACAAAGAGCAAACTACACTGATGACCGCAACCGACAACACAGCCCACATGACTCACACTGCCATGCTACCAGCAGTGGCAGTACGAATACCAGCACAATGCCAGCAACCACTCCCTCGCAGGCGACTTTCAACCCAGCTCACCACGCCTCCCCTCGAAGCGTGTCAAACCCAGGGCCCAAGCCGGTGAGATTATATAGGCTTACGCCACATCCGCCGATCCCCATATAAACTACTGCTCCTCCAGAACTGCATTTCACGGGGCTTGTCCGAATCATGACACGGCGCTCGACATCGTTCTTGTTGCTTCGTTGTTGTTATCGTACTTTTTGCTGCTCTTTTGTGGCCTTTGGTGGCATCTTGGCTTGTCTGAAGGCCATATCTGGCCGCCTCGAGGCATCTTGGGCCAAGTTTTGGATCATCTTGGGGGCTCCTCGGGCTTCTTGGAGGCCTTTGAGGTTCTCTTGGGGGTCCCTCATGGCCTCTTGGGCTGTTCTTGGGGCAGGCTGGGGACGTCTTGGGGCCGAAGGCTCGAAAAGGTGCCCTCTGGGCTCCGTCTTCAAGCCGTCTGGGGGCCCTCTTGGGCTGTCTTGGGGGCTTCGGGGGCTGTTGTTGGACCCTCTTCGACCCTTCTTGGGGGCCCCTTTGGCCGTCTGGGGGCGATATTGAATGTTTCTTTGCCCGTCTGGGACGTTGTGGAAACCGAATAGGCGAGCATGCGAAAAATGCTTGTTTTTCGAAGGGGATGGGGAGATGTTTGTTTCTTGGGACCCTCGTTGGGCGCATCTTGGGAGCCTTTTGGGTGCCTTGGCAGCTTCGGAGGCCGCCTGGAGGCCATCGTGGGCGTCCAGGGCGATATTTCGGCGATTCGTGGCCCCCTGGGACCGTCTGGGGAGCGTTTTGGTGCGCCTTCTTGGCCAGTTTTGGAGCCCTCCGCTCCCCCGTGGCGCGTTCGGTCGGGGGTCCGGCCGGGCGAGGGGAGGGGGAGGTCGAATTGCCAGTTTGGGGTCCTTGGGGGGGGATTATGGGGGGGGATAATCTCACACGCCTAGAGACCCACAAGGGGTCGGCGGATTGAATGCCCCACCCACCCCGCTGACCGTCAAGGAAGACACTGCAGCAACCAAAGGACAAGACCGAATACGACGACACGATCACACAGCAGGAGGTACTCGCTGCAGGAGAACAGCACACGCGCACTACCGCATCCAGCACCTGCGACCCGACGCCAAACACCAACGCTCCCATCGCAAACGACAACCAACCACCCCCCATCCAAGTGGGGCCTCAGAAGCCCACGGGATGGTTCCCCGTTACGACGACCACCCAAGAAAAGGTAAACCCCGACACAATCACCGTCCCTATGGGAGCCACCATGCGCTACTCGTACCGACCCAAGTTTGAGGACTCCATCGCCCACGGTACCATCACTGTCAACGAGGGCGACGAGGTCACAATACGCGACATGTTTTTTGTTCAACAGCAAGAACGAGCTCTGGGCACGCGGTGCCATCGCTCGATCCAACAACATGCGAAGCAGCAGACAAGTCCTGACCGCAGACATCATCACCGAGTACCGCTCCCACTACCACGACATCCAGGAGAAGCTCGACACCCTCACCACGATGGTGGAGGAGCCACAGGTCAGCTACAACACGGTCGTCGACATCCAGAAGGAGATCACTTCGGCCAACGACTCCACCTCCAGGTTACTCGGCAAGCTCAACGACTACGTCAACTAACTACGCCCCTAACCACTGGCGATCGCCATCCTCGCCAGAACCACCCGCCAGAACCAACCCAGGCCTGGGCGGCCGCACGCGTTGCCTACGCGCCCGAAGCCGTCACAACACCGCCACCCACTCCGACCCCTCCGACTTTTCTGGCTTCTTCCTCGACTTCTGCGACCTCACCTACCCCCCCGACGTCTCCGACTTCGGCTAACCCACGAGCATGACATTTCCTTCCCGACTTCTTCGGCCTTGCCGACCTTTATTTTCACAGCTTCTTCTCATACTTCTACCTCTGAGGGCCAGGGAGGGGGCGGGGTTGGCGTGCGGTTGTTAGAGCGTAGGGGCTGGGGGTGTGGGGAAGGCAGGGCGGGCGCTTCGACCCGCAGCTCCACCTTTTCGTCCTCCCCATCCTCGGAGGAGTCAAGGGCTCCCACGAGGGCGCGAAGTTATTCGCGCTTCGCGCTTCGCGGTCCTCGTTCCTTCTCCCCCTCCTCCTCGTCCTCCTATTCTCCCTTTGGGGGGGCGGCGCGAGGGCGCGAAGTTATTCGCGCTTCGCGCTTCGCGGAGCGCGAAGCGCGAAGTTGGGAGCCCTAGAGGAGTAGGGAGGGAGGGAGGGAGGGACGGAGGAGGACGAGGAGGAGGACATCCCCCGCAGGTACATCGGTGGCAGGGCCTCGCGGGAGGAACTGGGCGCGTTGCGGCGGCTTTGCGACGCGCTCCCGGCCGCGCCGGGCGGCGGCGCCAGCGCCGGGGCGGGCGACAGCTCGGGCCCAGGGAGCCCCACGACGCCCAGCCAGAGCGAGTCGCTGTCCCCCGAGGCTGGATTCGGGCGAGTGAGTCCTTTTGCCAAGGGGGTCCCGAAAATGTGCGCAACAGCTCGTGCAATCGTTCGTGCGGGGTGCGCACGTCGTACAATGTCAGCACTTGGCCGCCACGCGCCATGCGTCATAGGATGAACTGTTGCATTTTGTCTTTGCGACCCCATTACGAAAGACCCCCGATGTCGAAGAAGAAAAAGAAACGACACGAACATAAATGTTTGGCGCTCCGCGGAGATTTCTTGGATCCGAGCTGGGCCACCTTGGCGGCGCCTCTGGCGCCGCCCCTGGCGCGCCCCGCGCGCAAGGGAGGGGGCCCCGGCGCAGATCCAAGACATCCGCGCGGAGCGCCAAAAGTTTATGTTTAATATGGCATTTGTTTTTCTTCTGCGAGGGCCTCCGGATGTCCGCGCGGTTCTGCTCGGTGCTGTCCCGGCAGTACGACATCCATGAGTTGCTCGGTAGCGGCTCCTCGAGCCTGGTGTACCGTTGCACGAGGCTCGAGGATAAATAGAAAGCATGGCCCTTGGCATCGCTGGGGCGTGCGCAGCGTCTGTCATCGAGGGCCATCGAGAAGCATCGTGTCTCGCCTCACGAAACAAGTAAGCGCACGAAACCGACAAACGCACGGGAATTAGACGTCCGAGCGATGGATCGGAAAAAAGGCATTGCACAAATATACAATTCTAGACGCTTCGCGTATCCCCACCAGCCCGTCCAGAAACGACGCCCAGGCGGGTAGAGGGTCGTCCTGAGGGGCTTTTCGGCGTCTTGGGTGCCTCGGGGGGGCCTCTGTGGGCCGTTCGGGATCCTCTTTGGGGCCTCCTGGGGGCCTCTTGGGGCCTCTTGGGGCCATCTTGGGGCCTTTGGGGGCCTCCTGGGCGCTTCTTGGGGCCATCTTTGCCCCCTCAGAAGGCCCAAATGGGGCCCAAACCGTAGTAAAAATGCCTCTGGGAGCACCTTGGGTGCCTCTGGGGGGTCTCTTGGGGCCTCTTGGGGGTCTCTTGGGGGCCTCCTGGGGGCCTCTTGGGGGGCCTCTTGGGGCCATCTTGGGGCCATCCTGCGGCCTCTTGGGGCATCCTGGGGGCCTCTTGCGGCCATCGTGGAGGAAATCGATCAAAGAAGAGGGGAGCTCTAATTAGCGCTGCCCCCTCAGAAGGCCAAAATGGGGCCAAAACCATAGTAAAATCAATGAGTTTTGGCTTCCTCGCCGAGGCCGTTTTGGACGCTCTGACCGCTCCCCGCCCCTCCTGTCCAGGTCAGTGGGGAGGGGGTAGGGGGAGGGGTAAACCCCTCCCCGAAGGGGAAGAGGGAGGGGTGGAAGAGGAAACGCCCTAAACCACCGACGCCCAGAGGGCTGGTGGGATTTCGGAGGTCCGCGCGGAGCTTTTGGATCTGCGTTGGGCCCTGTGGCGGCGCATCCGGCGCTGCCCCTGGTGCGCTCCGCGCGCCAAGGAGAGGACAGCATGGTGCGCATGGAGTGAACTCAACGAAAACATAGTGAATTATTGGCCGTAGTGAGGTGGCTACGATGCCCACCTCTCGGAACGTCGTGATGCGGATCCAGCCCCGAGTTGCGTTGAAAGCGATGTGAAGTGCGAAGGCCTACGATGTGGTCCATTTTCCGAAGACGAGCCTCTCCGATGGTCTCGAGCTGGATGCGACGTGCCTATGATGGTGCCTCGGTGCCCACCCCGCCCCGCTCGCAGGGGCTTCGCTCCGAGTCTCCGTATGCGGGTAGGATCGGTGGGCGGCCCGTCCCCCGCCCGCGCTGCGTGTGTGTCGCGAGGTTCATGGGCGCTTGCCTTCAGTCGGGCATGTCCCTCTACAGGAGGAACATTCAAAACACATAAAAAAGTTGGGGGACGATCTTTTGATTCTTTGTGAGTGTTGTGTTTTTTCAGTTGTCTTTCGAGAACCCGCCTGTAGCAGGGCGTGCCCGACTTGAGGCTTGCCCTGCGAGCGGCTCCATTGACGTCCATGAGCCACTGGCCCCCCGCCTGCCGCGCACCCCCGCCTGGCGCGGACCACGAAAATAAGTGCTCCCTCGAGGGCGCGAAGTTATTCGCGCTTCGCGCTTCGCGGTCCTCGTTCCTTCTCCCCCTCCTCCTCGTCCTCCTATTCTCCCTTTGGGGGGGCGGCGCGAGAGCGCGAAGTTATTCGCGCTTCGCGCTTCGCGCAGCGCGAAGCGCGAAGTTGGGAGCCCTAGAGGAGCCACTGGCCCCCCGCCTGCCGCGCACCCCCGCCTGGCGCGGACCGCGAAAACCGCCCACGCACAGCGGTCCCCCGGCGAGGGCGGGGTGCACCGCCGCTGCCAACCCCCCACGCTGCGGCAGTGTGCCCCTGGGGAAGGTGACGTCAGGCAGCCCAACAGAGCACCTCCAGCACCGCCACCAGGAAACGGCGGTGCCCAGGAATGGCGCGGAGGAGGAGGAGGAGGAGGAGGAGGAGGCACGCTGATTCGGAGCATGGTGCCATGCGGGCCAAATGCAGAACCGCCTCGGTGTCCCTTTCACAACCCGCGCGCCGTCTGCTCAGCTTCGGACGCCCGATCCTCTAAGGCAATGGCGCCACTGAAGTCTGTGGATTCGCCGATCCAGGAAATCCATTCGTATCTCTGAAAGTTTGTGTGTGATCATGTGGTGTCGGCCTTTCTTCTAGAGGCTTGACGACGGGAGGGCCCTCGCGCTCAAGGTCATGCGCTGGAAGGACCCAGACAGGGTCGACTACTTCCGCCAGGAGCACGAGATGCTCCGGAGCCTGCAGCACCCTCACATCTTGCGGGCGCTGGAGTTCATTCTCTTTGAGGAGTGCGGGAGCGCTCACTCCGCCATGGTCTTGGACTACTTCCCGAGCACCTCGCTGCGCCGCCTCGTGCACCGCCAATGTCCGCTGCGGGAGGAGGCCTTGCGGCCCCTCGCCGCCCAGCTGCTCTCCGCCGTCGACTACCTCCACAGGCTGCGGATAGTCCACCGGGACATCAAGCCGGAGACCGCAAGTATCAGAACCTTTGGGCGTTGCGTAATGGAGGGGTCATAAATGGGAGGGTGGCGAGGGTGGTCCGAAAAGGTACCCAAACGGTACCTAAACGAGCCCCCTGGGGGTCCGGAGGGGCTCGAAAGGGGCACGAAAGGGGACCGTTTCTGACCCCCCCATTTATGACCCCCCCATGAAGCCACGCCCAAAACCTGCATAAGCAGAACCTTTCGGACAGGAGCTCTGCGCGGATTCCTTGGATCGGCGTTGGGCGCCTCTGGCGCCGCCCACGGCGCGCTCCGCGCGCCGTGGAGGGGGGCCAGCTGCAGATCCAAGAAATCCGCGCGGACCGTCCAAAGTGAGTGATTCTGTTGTTCTCTGCCTCTAGGGTTAAGTCGGGCCTGTCCCTCCACAGGAGGAATACTCAAAACTAGTTTTCAGTACATTTGTCTGGGGACGATGTTTTGACTATGACTATGTTTGATCATGTTCGAGCATTGATGGGGTACTCTGAATGGTTCCTCCGAAGTCCGCCTGTCTGGGGGACGCGCCCGACCTGACTCGAGGAGAACCTGCTGGTAGCGGACGGCTGCCGGTCGATCTGCTTGATCGACTTCAACACCGCGCACCGGCTGAGGGAGGGGGCGGCGCTGACCCCCACGGGGACCTATCTCGGTGTTGCCACAGGTGCCCCTGGCCCGAGGCGCCCCCAGGATGCGCGAGGACGCCCGAAAGGCCCCCAGAGTGCCTCTCACGAGGCTGAAGGCTGAAGTCGGGCCTGTCTCTCTACAGTTAAGTCGGCCCTGTCCAACTACAGGGGGAGTATTCAAAAATAGTGAAAAATAATATGGGGACTATTTCTTTAAATATTGTTTGATCATTTTGGAGTATTTTGTGAGTATTTTTATTTTTCGTCGAAAATCCCCCTGTATGGGGGACACGCCCGACTTAACTCTACAATGGGAAGATTCAAAGACAGTCAAGAAATAGTCAGGGAACGATGTTTGTGAGCAGTTTTGAGTATTCTTGGAATTTGTTTCGGGTATTTTTATTTTTCTTCCAACAGTCCCCCTGTAGGGGGACACGCCCGACCTAACACAGGCCCAGGGGCCCCCGGCGATGGGACAAGATGGCGCGAAGAGCTGGGGACAACTCGGGCCAGGGCCGCTTCTGGCAACACGCGACTGTCTGTACGCGGCCCCCGAGGTGATGGGGGGGACGACATGGGGATAGGCTCAGGGGAGGGCATGCATCGACCCCCAATCGCTCATTGATCGCCGATGGGGGAACAATGGCTCGAGCCCGCTGAAGAGCGTGAGGATTTGCCATCGGGGGCCTATCGCCGATCTTCGGAGAGCAAACGGTGACAGAAACATGAACTTTCGGAGCTCCGCGCGGATCTCTTGGGTCAGCGCCGGACCCTCCTCGCTGACGCGCGGAGCCCTCCAGCGCCGCCGGGGGTGGAGGGCCAGCGCCGATCTGAGAAGTCCGCGCGGGCCTTTGACAGTAGATCTGTTTTTGTCCACTTCTTCTCCCCGATTGATAACTATCGCTAATTCCAGGTCGATGTTTCCCTCCTGAGCGGCTCTCCCCTTCCAGACCCCCGACGTCGTGAATTTGTCATGACGTGGAGCCTCAGAAGTCTGGACCCCTTCCCCTGGGCCGTTTTTTTCGTCCCGCGTCGTTATTGTTGACGATCCCGAAGCCCGGCGAGGTCCTCCAGAGGCCGAAAAGAACAACAAAACTGCCCGTCATGATTAGTTCATGACCCGCGCAGGTCTGGGCTAGTCTTCAGTCGGGTCTGTCCCTCTAAAGGGGAAACATTCAAGCATAGTTAAAACATAGTCTGGAGGCGATTTTCTGACCAGTTTTGCGCATTGTGGGTGTATTTGTCTTGGGTATTTTTAATTTTTCGTCCAGAATCCCCCTGTAGGGGGACACACCCGACCGAAGGCTGGTCGCTGCCCCCCCCCCGAGGTGCTGAGGGGGGACCCGCCCTCCGAGGCGAACGACGTCTGGTCCTTCGGCGTGTGCGTGTACTTTGCCCTGTCCGGCAGGCTGCCCCGCCGGGCGGCACACGCCGAGGCGCAGGAGCCGAGGAGCTGCGTGCCGCTGAAGGTCCAAGCAGTGGCGAAGCGGCCTGCCTCGCTTGTGGGGCCTACCAAACAATGTTCTAAGAACCTTTGGTGGCTTCAACGAAGTGTTCTTAGAGCATTTCTGGTTGGGACCGTCGTGTCTTCACACATAGTGTTCATGATATAAGAACCTTGTTTTTGTTCTTAGGAAAATGTGGTAGGCACATGTGTTCTCATGATGTATAAGAACATTTTTGGGTTCTAAGGAAATTCCGTGGTAGGCCCATAGGAATGCCGGGACGGTCGGTCCCTGCTCCAAAGGTCGAGGACTAAGTCGGGGGTGTCCCTCTCTACGCCCAGACCCCCTCGAGCTATGAACAAATCTCGACGGTAGGCTCTTCGCCATCTTCGGCCTCTGGGGGCCCTGACCGGCCCTCGGGACCGTGACAAAAACGACTTCGGGACGAGAAGCCGGTCACGGGGAACGGGTCGAGACCTGCGGGGGTCGACGTCATGAACAAATCATCAAGTCGGGGGTCTGGGCAGGAGGGATATTCAAAAATAGCCCCCTAAGAAATAGTCTGGGGACAATTTTTGTATTATTTCTGACACTTGTTTTGGTATGTTTCACAATTTGTCTCATTTTCTCCCCGCATCCGCCTGTAGGGGGACAGGCCCGACCCAAGTCGAGAAAGATCTCGCGGTGCGCCACAGCTCGAAGACGAGCCAACGGCGTGAGCAGAAGTTTTCTGAGCTCCGCGCGGGTTTCTCTCAGGCGATCGCAAACATGAATCAAGGGGGCGTGGATTGGCGACGGGTCCCGTTTCCATGGGGAGTCGGGAATTTCCGCCGCCGAGCGAGGCGGCACCAGCCGCATTTTGGGGAGGGCACCTCTCCCGATCCATGGATTTGGCGACCGCGCGCCAAATCCATGGATCGCTAATCCATGTTTGCGTGCCTCCGGCGTCCTGGCAGCACCTCCAGCGCCGCCCCTTGGGCCCAGCTCGGATCCAATGAATCCGCGCGGACCTGCAACAGCGTATGTACATGGTGTTTTTGTTCTTTCCCGTACAGTCAACGCGCCTAGTAAGGACGCGTGCCTTCATCTAGGGTACCCTTGAGTCCTTGCCTCTGCGGCCCGTCCTTCGCCGTTTTCACTGGCCGCCCCCCGCCCCAGAAATCCAACTTCGGCCTCCAAGGGTCTTGCGTCCTTACCACCCGTCCTTAATAAACGTTTTGACTGTCACATCAGGGGCAATGGTAGGGAGGGATAGGCTCAGGGGGGATGCATCGGCTCCCGATCGCCCATTCATCGCCGATGGAGGCCCGATAGCCCACCCTACCCAAGTCCGTGCGCATTCGCCATCGGGGGCCATATCGCCGATCTATCGGCGGTTGGCGACGTATCGCCGACTCCAGGTCGGGTTTCCCTCCCGAGCCCGTCCCCCCTAACGTTGCCCCTCAAGAAAGAGCAGCATGAGCACGGTTCAGACAAGGGCAGGTAATTACTGTCTTTTGTCCATCTAGACACGACGCTGTTCGTCACACGTCGCCTCGGCTGGATTCTTCCAGAACAAAATATGGTCGGGAGGCACCCCTGGGAGAGGTCCGTGGAGTTGCGGCATCCGTATCTCTTCGGGGGCGGTAAAGAGGGATGTGAGGATTGGGGGGGGGGATATCATGGTGGGGGCCATGATATCTCCCCAGATTTCATGGCGCCTCTTCTTATTTCAATGCGTCCCCAGCCGCCGGCCATGATTTGCGCCCCCCTCTTGGACGCCCCCCTCTTGGCCGCCCCCGACCTCTGTGCCCTCCCACGAAACATGTTGATGTTCGGAGGGCCGTGCACATTTCTGGCATCGGCGCTGACCCGTCATCCCTGGTGCTCGAAGCGCGCCAGGTGTGCTGTCTCGCTTCGAGCGACGCCCACCCGAGCGACGCGTCCGCGGGATCTCCGGGGAGCTCTGGGCACCGTGGGGCCGGGCGGCCGCGGTATGCAGTCGTCGTTCGTCGAAGACGCGAGACGGGATGCCCAGGCAGCGCTGGGACCCTTTGTCGGGCCGGGCGAAAGGGGGGGATTGGGAAAGGGGGGGTTACGAAATCAGCTGCATGCAGCTGGTTTCGGCCTCACCGAGGGGCCCATTCCTCGAGACATGGCCGCCTCCGGCGCCGGGAAAATCAGCTACGTGAGCTGATTCTCAAACCCCCCCTTTGCTATCCCCTCCTTTCGCCCGACCCGACTTTGGCGGCCGGGGTACGCAGCGCGTGCTGGGCTCGCACCTTCTCATCTAAGAACCCCAACGTGTCGGTGGGGATGGAGCTTTCGGAGGTTCGCGCAGAGTTCTCGGAGCGGTGCCGACTCCCCCTCCCTGAGGGCCGGAGGCACCCGGGGTGCCCAGGGGGGTCCAGCGCCGATCCAGGACATCCGCGCGGACTTCCGAAAGCTGCTCTTCGCCTTTTGGTTTCCCTGGAAGGGGCCGTGCTGGAGGGGGGTCCCGGACGAGTGCCGGAGCGTCTTGCGGCATTGCCTGCAGCTCCGCGCCAGCGCGCGGCCTGCGCCCCTTGCGCTGCTTTTCCACCCCTGGCTCGCCGGGCTCTGCCCAGGCCGGGCGGCGGGAGCCACACGCACAGGGCTGGAGGATGGAGGAGGAGGAGGAGGAGGAGGAGGAGGAGGAGGAGGCTGGGCGGCGAGAGTTACTCACAGGGCTGGAACTGAGCGGTTCGCTGGCGATTTCGTCAAAGTTTTCTTCGTTTGGGTTTCGATCTGCGGCGAAGGCGGGACGAAGACGAAGACAGAGCGAGGGAGAACGAAAACAGCACGGAAACGGAACAACAGACACGCACAGACACGGTCCGGTCCAATCCTAGGCCCAGGATCGGTGCACATGTGCCTCCGCAGACATCGGGCGACATACGGTAGGTTCGTGTCGTGTCGACCGGCGGCGACCCCACCAGCGGTGTTCAGTTTTGAACGCCGCGAGCGACCCAGAATCGTTCGTCGTTGAACGATTTAGACGTTTCGGAAACGGCCGTTCGTTCCAGGCTGAACGGTCCCCGCGGTGTCGGGAGCCAACGCCAGGGTCGACAAGACACGGACCTGCCGTGTGCTACCGATGCGGTGCGCGGCCCCGGCCCCTTCCCAAGGGGGTGCAGTTCTTCCGCCCGGGCCCAGTTGTGCTTGTCCTGGGGCCCAGCAGCGGGCCCCGGAGGCCGAAGCTGGCGGAAGCTGCCCCGACGGAGAGCCAAAGACCGTCGTCGGACAGTTGGGTCCCAGGGGGTCCTGCACCCAGCGTGGGCCCAGGAGCGGCATGGCAAGGGCTCCTTTGCGCCGGAGGGCCAGCTGGACCCCTCCATAGGGTCGGGCCGAGCGAAAGGGGGGGACAGGGAAACGGGGGGTTACGAAGTCTGGTGCATGCAGCTGGGTTCGGCCCCGCCGCCGGGCCCATTCCTCGATACATGGGCGCCTCCCGCCGCCAGAGGCGCTGGGAACACGTAGCTGATTCTCTATCCTACCCTTTGCTCTCCCCCTCTTTCGTTCCCCCCGACTGGACCCCTCCGTAGGGGTCCATATCCGACCCAGCTCTCGAAGCGGATCAAGCCGTGGCGACGAGAAGCCTCCATGGATAGGGCCAAGGAGGAGGAAGAGCGCCAGGGAAGGCCGCAAAACGCGCGCCTCCAGCGACCATTCCGGGCGATCTGGGACCCCCTGAACGCTCTCTTGGAAAGCTCTTCGAGTCGAAAGAACACAACGCCATAAACATCTAATCTTTTAGCGATCCGCGCGAGTTTCTTGGATCGGTGCTGGGGCCCTCCCGGGGGCGCCTCCGGCGCCGCCCCTGGCGCGTTCCGCGCGCTGGGGAAGAGGGTCCGGCGCGGATCCAAGAGATCCGCGCGGACCTCCAAAAGTTTATGTTTACACGGTTTTCTGTTCCTCTACCGAGGCAGGCAGACCACCGAGAACCAACCAACACGTCCGAAAACGAGGCTGGGAAGCCCGAGTCCAGCCATTCGACGATACGGATTCTTCAATCCGCGGCCCCAGAGGCCGCGACCCTTTCCCTGGGGGTAGTTTTGCTTCCTGGATCCGTTCGTGTTGGCCACGGGGCCAGCCGCCGAAGTCGGCACATCTCCTGCTCCTCGTCGCCCCCCCCGGCGGCCCGTCGTCGCCGCCGCCGTCGCCGTCGTCGTCGGAGAGCACGCGTGCAGCTCCCGCGTCGCCCGCCGAGGGGCCGCCGAGGGCGGCGAGGCGGCGGCGGAGGCGCTCCCCTGCCCGCCCGCGCCGTGCCGGTCCGAGGGCGCCCTGGCCGGCCGGGGCGGGCGCCGCGCCGCGGCGCCGCCGCGCCACGACGTGCTGTCCCTCGGCGGGCGGCGGCCGCGGAGCCTGCCCCCCAGGATCCAGGGAGATTTGCAGGGGAGGCTCCTTCCTCCTTCTCCTCCTCCTCCTCCTCCTCCTCCTCCTCCTCCTCTTCCTCCCCCTCCTCCTCCCCCTCCTCTTCCTCTTCCTCCTCCACCTCCTCGTCCTCCTCCTCTTCTTCTTCCTCCTCAGTTGCAACTGCCGATGCCGCTGCCCTTGCCTAGTCTTCGCCATGCGTTGCCTCCTGGGAGGCCCCCGTGTCGCCACCGCAGGCTTCGGGTGGAAATGCTGGTGAGAGCGCAGCCCAGGATCCGTAGAGATGCTCAGGTTGCAACCCTCAGATCCTCAGGTTGCAACCCTCAGATCCTGGCGTCGCATTTGTTCCTGTAACGGGCGTTTCCGCCAGGTTTCGGGCCTCGGGACCCTCACCGATCGATCTGACTCGACACAGTGAACGGGAAGATGCTGCATATTGTTTTGTAACGTCAGATCTGAGGGAACGGTCGCTACACCTGGACCGCACCACCCCCTTCCCCCCAGGTACTGGGAACGGTCGTGCGCAGGCCAGGGGGGTTGTATCTAATGTCCTTCGGTCCCGCCACCGTGCCTGGGTTGCGGGTCAGAGTTCTCTGGGATGCTCCTTGGGGTCTCTTGGGAGCGCTCTCGGGGGCCTCTTCGGGGCCCTTCTCGGGGCAGTTCCGAGGCTTCTTGGGGGCCTCTTTGGAGCCTCTTAGGGCTTCCTGGGGCTTGGCGGCCCCTTGGGGCCTCCTGGGGGCCTCCTGGGGCCGAGAGCTAGAAATATCCATTCGGATCCCCCGTCGGGGCCCCCTCTTGGGGGCCTTTAGGGCCGTCTTGGGCGCCTCTTGGGCCGTTTTGGGACCATCTTGGGCCGGTTCGGGACCCTCGTGGGGACTTCCTGGGGCCGTTCAAAAACCGAGGAGAGGGGATTGTGGAGTATGCGGTCTGCCAACCGAAACGTGAGGGAGGAAGGAGGAGGAGGAGGAGGAGGAAGAGGAGGACGGATCTCTGTATGATGGATGACGTTTGCAATTTGATTCCCTTTTTGTGAGGCGATTTACAATTAAATTCCTTTTGTGGCAGGTTTGCAATTGAATTCTTTTTGTGGCGATTGCAATTAGAATTCTCCTTGTGGGGGTTCTGGAGATTTCAGTTATTTCAGTTTTTTCCATTTTTTTTTTGTTCTCTCAGTTTTTTTTCAGTTGTTTTTCAGTTTTTTTGAAATTGTTTTCAAATGGATTCTATGTGTACGTGTATTACAATTAAATTCCCTTTGTGGCGAGTTTGCAAAAGGATTCCTTTTGTGTGGCGATTTACAATTAAATTCCTTTTGTGGGGGTTACAAAAGGAATTTCCTTTGTGCGATGATTTTAAATTAAACTCCTTTTGTGGCGGGTTTACAAAAGGATTCCCTTTGTGGGGAGTTTACAATTGAATTCCTTTTGTTGCGATTACACGTAGAATTCCCCTTGTAAGAGTTCTGGAGATTTCAGTTTTTCCAGTTTTTTTTAATTTATTTGTTTCCGTTTTCTTTGATTGGTTTCAAATAGATTCTATTTGTACGTGAATTACACTTAAATTCCCTTTGTGGCGTGTTTACAAAAGGATTCCCTTTGTGAGGCGATGTGCAATTCATTTCCTTTTGTGGCGGGTTTACAATGAAATTCCTTTTGTGGCGGGTTTACAATTGAATTCCTTTTGTGTTTGGTTTACACTTAAATTCCTTTCTTTGCGCATTTACAATTAAATTCCTTTTGTGGCGGATTTACAATTGAAATCATTTTGATGTCGGTTTAAAATTTACAATTAAAATCCTTTTATTGGTGCGCCACAGAAGGAATTCGATTGAGAGCTGGGAAAAACTGAAAAACTGAAAAAAATTGGAAAACAACTGAAACAACTAAAACCCTCCAATAATTAATTTTGGAGTTCCATTACAATCAAATCCTTTTGTGGCGGGTTTACAAAAGGATTCCCTGTGTGAGGGAATTTACAATTAAATTCCTTGTGTGGCAGGTTTACAATGAGTTTTCTATTGTGGAGGTTTTGCAATTAAATTTCTTTTGTTTTGAGTTTACAATAGGATTCCTTTTGAGACGGATTTACACTTAGATTCCTTTTGTGGCGGCTTTGCTCTTTAATTTTTATTCGGTCTACAATTGAATTCCTTTTGTTGGTGCGCCACAAAAGGAATTCTATTGAGAGCTGGGAAAACCACCAAAAAATTAAACAACTGGAACAACTCAAATCCTCCAAGCATTCTCTATTGAGGCGGGTTTACACTTCGTTTCCGTTTGTGGGAGCCTGGAGGCCAGGAGGGGGGCCGGAGGTAGGCAGGAGGGAGGCTTGAAGGAGAGTGGATGGAGGGAGAATGCTCGGATACCTGAGGATAGCTGGATGGAGGCGGAATGAATGGAGGGATGAAGGAAGATTCAATGGAGGGTGGCTGGCGACAGGCTGCTGGGTGGAAGCCTGGAGGCAAGGAGGGAGGCCGGAGGTAGGCAGGAGGGTGGCTTGAAGGAGAATGGATGCAGAGAGGCTGGAAGGATGGAGGGAGGCTGGAAAGAGAGATGTCGGACAGGAAGGGGCGGGGGTGAGAGGAATGGACGGAGGTTGAATGAAGGGATGGGGCTGTAGACACTAATAGGTCGGAAGCTGGAAGAAGGATGATGAGGAATAGGAGGAAGAGGAACGACGCTTCTCTTAGCATTGCTCTTCGCCACCTGCCTCACTCCTGCTCCACTCCTTCGTACTCCGCCATAAGTTTTGGGCTCAATGCCAGTTTTCTGCGACAGTAAAGAGCGCTGCCCCCGCGCCTTCGGGCAAGGGGGCGAGCCCTTCGAGGCTTCCAGCCGGTCCGCCTACTGCTCGCTCTGTCAGAATGCCGCCGTCCTCCAGTCTCTCAGGGCCCAGAGCCTGGGAGCTGCTAGGCGGGCCATGGGCTTGCTGACCCCCGAGCAACTGGCCAACTACCTCGGCAGGCTGCCGCCCGACGTGGGCGCGCACCTGCTGGGAGAGCGGCAGGCGGGCGCCGCAGGGCTGAGGGCCGCCAGGAGCAGGACGCCGCCCCCGAGGGGAGAGCCACAGGGGCCCGAGCTGCCGCCACCCGCTGACGCCGCTGGAGGCGAACAAGAGCAGCTGCCCCCGAACGCCCCCCTCGCTGCTCTGCCCCAGCGCAGCCTCGAGCCCGCTGCGCTCGCGGCGCCGGACCCAACCCAGGTGGGTATTATGCTGCAAACGGTTATCGTTTACACCCCCCCCCCCCCTCCCCCCCAAGACCCTTCAAAATGCGCAAAGTCGCATTCGGTGTGTTTTTTTCTCCGGATGGTTTGATAAAGCGTTTTGCTGTGTGTTTAGTTTGGCTTGATCGATTCTGTCGTTGTCGTTGGCTCATTTGCGTGGCGGGGGCCATTCTTTTTCTCTGGGTACCCCCCCCCCCTTGAGGTGCTGGACCAGGGTGCATTCCCCGCGAGCACTCTCTGCGCGGTGTCCGCGGCGTTCGCGCGACCCTCGCGGGCGCGAGGTTCGGTTTCGGCATAGAGGGCGGGGCTGTGAAGGCCCAGATCGCGCGGCTTCACGGGGAGCCCAGCGGGGCCGAGTGGTCTGATGCCCTCGTCGCGCGCATGCCGTGCGTGCGCGTGGAGCTGCCGGACTTGCGGCTGCACTTCCGCGTCAAGGCGCGCGTCGCCTACAAGTTTGCGACGGCGCTGCGGGGGGTGCGCGAGCAGGGCGGCTGGCACCTCACGGTGATCGTCGCCAAGATGGGGGGGGCGCCCGCAACCTGCGCAGCGTGGTGGCCAAGCACGCCACAAAGTGCGGCTGGGTGCAGCGTCTCCATTCTTGGGGCGCCAGCGAACACTCTTCCGCGGCGCGGCCCTTTCCACTTTTTGGAGAGAAGCAGTTTGTTCGGGCTTATTTCTTAGATCCTGAGGTGACGCAGGCTTCCCAGGCTAGCGGCTCCAGAATCGTTAGCGTTGCTTTTCCACGCCCCTCGCAGTTTTGGAATGACTATTCCCCACCGGGAGTGGGCCGTCATCGCTTCGACTTGCGGCAGTTAAAAAACTTACTTGTGTTCTGCCTTCGCTGTTTCTTCTCGTCTCTCTCCCCCCGCGCTCCCCCCTCACTCTCCCTTCTTGCGTGTAGAGGAGGGAGGGGCGCGAGGGCGGGGGGGGGGAGGACAAGGGCGACGACGAGGAGGAGGGCGAGCGATAGCGACGACGTGGCCGTGGCGATACTGCACGGGAGAGCACGTGCGACGGCCCCTGGCCGTGTTTGATTGGGAAAAGCACAGCCCGCGACCAGCCTGCGAAACGAAGCGCATCCTGAGTGGAAAAAATCAAGAAACAAGTGCCGACTCGGATCCGATTTTGTTTCTGGCGTTTGGGCCCCGGCGGTGTCATTATTGCACGGGAGAGCATGTGCGGCGGTCCCTGGCCGTGTTGATTGGGAGAAGCACAGCCCGCGACCAGCCCGCGAACCGAAACGCATCCTGAGGGGAACAAATCAAGAAAAAAAGTGCCGACTCGGATCCGATTTTGTTTCTGGTGTTTGGGCCCCGGCAGTGTCATTATTGCACGGGAAAGCATGTGCGGCGGTCCCTGGCCGTGTTCGATTGGGAAAAGCACAGCCCGCGACCAGCCCGCGAACCGAAACGCATCCTGAGTGGAAAAAAACAAGAATAAAAGTTCCGACTCGGATCCGGTTTTGTTTCTGGTGTTTGGGCCGCGGCAGTGTCACTCTTGCACGGGAGAGCATGTGCGGCGGCCCCTGGCCGCGTTTGATTGGGAAAAGCACAACCCGCGACCAACCCGCGAACCAAAACGCATCCTGAGTGGAGAAAATCAAGAAAAAATGCCGACTTGGATCCGATTTTGTTTCTGGTGTTGCCACTCGCTGTTGCCACTTGCTGTTGCCACTTGTCGTTGCCATTTGCTGTTGCCACCTGATGTTGTCACCTCATGTCCCCACT